AATCACATAGAACGCCGGCTGCGTTTCCTTACTGAATGGCTATTCGTAGTCTTACGAGAAAAGAACCAGCCTTGTTATAATCAGCGGCGCCGGCAAGTAGTGGATACTGTTTAGGAACTTCACTACTCGTAGGTTCCGCGGATCGATTAGGCTCTTTAGCAAATGGCACAAATAATATGTACATTTCTTCTTGTATATGCGCCACTTACTCAACCCAGCCACCTCTAAAGACGTGAGGCTCTAAACGAGATACCCGTGCGATGAGAGGTACGCACGTAGCATCCCACACTAGTGTATTACCTCTCTCCCAATGGACCAAATTTATAGCGTTGGGTCTCTTACCTTCGTCTCTAAATATTCCACAAAACTCTTAAACTGAGATAACACAGGTTAAAAATACGTAAAGGAAAAATTATTTGCAACAAGCTTTTAAAATTAGTTTTGAGCCTATATATGCATAGTGTACTCTATGGTTTTAAGTACCTAGTCAGGTCATAAATAATGTCACACAGTAAAAACTTTTATTTTAGAATGCTGGCCACAAAAAAGTTTATTGAATTCGAATTTCGAATTGTTCATGAAAATAAAACTAGTAGTGTAGTTGTACCACTTCTAGACCACCTGAGTCAGAAGCGGTTCAACGACGTTCACATACGATCCTAAAAAAAAAAAAAAGATCTGATCACGAATCTGCGGTCCATTTTTGTGTAGGATGCACGGTTCCGGAGATGTGAAGATCACTTAGCTAATATCTAAAAAAAAAAAAAGTTTTGGCATGCTCTGATCACGAACACCTTCATTGCAGCGTGTGCGTCGACTATATCAGTGCTATTGTATTATACTTCTTTGTTCCTAATTATACAACGCTAATCTGAATCATCAATAAAACACATTACATAATTTTGTTACAATTTTTATTTATAAAATACAAAATCTTATTACTTATTATCTATAAAATAGGAGCGAAACATCTCATCCACTAAAATATCGTTGTACAATGTGTTCCTTGTAAATATACTCGTAAAACTATGTATTGAACATCCTTGAAACTTATATAGCAAATACATTAAGCAATATTCGCCACAAACTGAAGTCCACTCATTCTGAATCCTATCAACATTCCAGTTCCATCTTTTACAATTCCTTTTTAAAAACTCTAGATGATATCGTACAGGTGATCGTCCATATGAATCAAAATATTGACCGACGTCATTCGTATCGATATATAAAGCTACCCAATGTGACCCTGGTTTATCATCTGTATCCAAATTGCATATTATATACGTTGGTACGTGGGTATACATAGGCAGTCTATTAGCTGCATTTTTTTTTTTTAGACTGGGGTGAATCTTTTTCAGATGTTGTTGTACATCTAGTGTATCCATGATATTACTGCTATTAGTAGATTATTACAGTACCAATCTACTCAATGAATAACATAGGAATGGTCAATTATAGTGATTTCTAAATATTAAATTGCATTTTTGTGTTATGCAAATCGCACTTGAGTCATTGATCACCAAACAAAACACAATACGAAGAAATGTTGAGATAGGCAACGGAAATGTGAGATAAACTGGTTGACGCATAAAGTAAGTAAAGACTAATAAGGATAGCATCTACGACAACACAAACGCCCTCGTATACAATATAACAAAGACAATAGCAGAAAGTGAAAAAGTTAAAAAATACTTTTTTAACAATGACAGTCATTAGCTGATCATTAGTGAATGTGATTCTGTTTACTTCAATTACAGGAAGACAAGAGCGGAAGGAAGAGATGAGTGTGGCATACGTGTACAAAACACATCATTGAAGAACAAAACTACAACACTGAGTGGAGAAGAAAACGAGAAGAGTATGCAGTACTCAAGAGCTGAATATCCATTCTTCAGTTCAAAATCTAGCCGTTTGCTTAGTTTCGAAAACTGGCCTCTCGTTATGCGACAGAAACCTGAAGATCTTGCAGAAGCTGGTTTCTTTTATACTGGTCATGCAGACGGGACCAAGTGTTTCCATTGTGGTGGTGGTTTAAAAGATTGGGAAGATGATGATGATCCTTGGCAGCAGCATGTTCAGTGGTTTAGTCAGTGTGCTTATATAAAATTTCAACTCGAACAGTGTTTTGTATTAGATTAAATAGAAGATTTATAAAGAAATAAAAAAAAATATATTGCATACAATTTGTTTTATTTAATTTTATAACGTTTCACATTGTTACATACACACAAAATGCATTACACATAACACATAAAATCTAACACACAACATATATTTTAACCTTAACTACTATAGTCTACAGTAACATTTCTGTTTTTATCTATCTCAATAATATTATCAAACTCAGCATAAACTATACAGTTAATTGTTTGTATTAATGAGGATTCAAATCGTACTTCTATTCTTACACTACCATGCTTTATGAGATTCCAATGAGTTGATGAGTTAGCTGATAAATCAGGAGTTAAGTCAAATGCTAATAGACAGTAACCTTTGCCATACTGTTCACAAGAGATTCCATTTCCTTCATTAAGAAAGTGAATACCAGTTCCCGAGAATAGAGTATGATATGCTGATGTATATGCTATTATTAAAAGATGGTTGCAAAGCTTTTGAAGGTATTTGTTGACCATCAATATATAAGCTGAAAGAATTAATACCATAGTTTTCAAAGTTAAATGGATTTTTAGTAAGGGAACCATTAAATGCAGAATTGTTCATAAATCCAATTATACATCTTTTCGGTACCTGTCCTAAAAATATATTATCAAGAGTTTTTCCTTGAACACCCGAAGGAATTGTTAAAACTTTTACTTCAGCTCGAGTAATAGGATATTTAGCAGTGGTAGAAGCTAAAACTTTTTGATGTGCGAGTAATACACTTGGATTAATTCGTGCTCGTCGAACAATAAGAGTTGCGTCCGTAATGCAAACTTTAAACTTTACATCGTTTCAGTCGACTCCATCGAGTCAGTAATTCATTCTTGGGGCGATGTATAAGCTTTTACAACAAAATTCCAGAAAATATACAAAGTTTGACCTGTTCAAAGTTCAAAAACTTTATTAAACTAAGTTTGTATAAAAAGGGTTATTATAATATTAAGGAATTTATGGATGATAATAACCCCTGGAAATGAGGTGATCGCTACCAAGCTATTTCTAATTTGTTGTGTTGTTAATTTGTGTAACATCATGATTGTAAGCTGTTATTTTTAAAAAAAAGTCCCGCTGGATTTCTTGCTGGTTCTTCCCAGGACAGAGGTTTTTTCCGAACCAGTGGTAATCAAACAAAAGAGTGACTTTCAATAAGTATTATTTATAATCTATATTGAATAAAAAAGTTTCTGTTTCTGTTTCTGTTTCTGTTTCTGTTTGACCCAACAATTAAATTAAAACTCTCTCTTGATCGAACCAATTTAACACTCATTTCAACCCCATTAATTAAAAATTTATCTTGGTTAAAAATGTCACCGTGAAGATGACCAATCATTTCTATTTCCTTACTTTCACTAATCAATTCCTGTCTTTTAACAAATCCTATGTTTTTACCATCTGTAGAATCCATTTTTCCTGCTGTATCCTCATACCAAAGACTACAAGTAAGATGAGATTGTTTAGCAGCAGGGGCATAGTTTAAAAGGGTTTCCATGTATGCTCGATATGCATAGGTATTATTAGGTGGTGATACAAGTTTTTGGTTTAAATAAACATCAAGTTGACTAAAAAGTGAATGCAGCCAATTATTTACAGGTGCTACTATTGTAGTAGATACCAAGTTAGTTGAATCTTGATTTAATACTTTTGCCTTTATGTGGAGTAATGTATGAGACAAATCTATGTAGTCATCGCCGGTCCCAGGAACTTGAAACTCGATAGGTCCATCATCACCAAGAGATGAAATTGGTTTATAATGAATCCACAATCCATTTTCAATGCTAGTTTGTGTAGACGGTAGTGCAAACAAATCCAATTCTGACTTAACGCACTCGCAAGAATGATTATGAAGGAAAGACATATTTAGTTTGAAAATATATCTTTGATATTTTTTGGTTTTAGACAAAGTTTTTTCGCAGCTTTCACTTTAGCAGTTAATGGTGGAATGAACGATGTCAATCGTTTTCTTTTAGTTTTATACCCAGATCCAGTCATGTTAAATTGATCAATTTTCTCATCAGCCTTTCGTTTTAAATTCGTACTAACTTGCTTTAGACGATCTTTTATTGAGGCTTCCATAGGACGGGCTTGAACCATATCCGATAAAAGTCCTACTCCAGCGCTTAATGCCTCCTTACCAATCACTCGAGCACCACTTGAAAGTAAAGGTAAAACTGATCTGAATAACCCCCCTAAGAAGCTCCCAAGTCAGAAGTCCTCCACGTGTGCCTGGTAGTTGCGGGTCCCTCTCGATACGTCTGGAGGGAAGAGCAGATACTGGGCCGGTGCACCCTGGGCGCGGCAGTAATCTTCCTCGAGAAATGAGAAGAAATTCTTACTCCTTGGGGAATGGTACTGCCGCGGCTAATTATTCTGACATGGGTGGGGGGGTCCGTCCGGACCAACGGTGCGTTCCACTGCGTGACCCTCTGATTAGCAGAGGGCATAGCAGAGGAGTGAGGGCGGGCTCGGTGTGCACTTACCCTGCCTCCGGGCAGACAGTGAAGGATTCATCCTTTGCGGTCACCGCCGGTCTCGTAATCCCAGTATCGAAGTGTCGTGGATCACGTCTCGCGGCTTTGATAGGGACCGAGGGTCTTGGCTTAACCGCCCGGACCGCGAGGGAGAAAACCTCTATAAAAAGTTACCCCGAATCTCAAGCGGCGACGCACCGCGAGGGGATGGATGGCTGACGGGGTTCTATGAACAAATCAGTCGTTAGTGCGCTCCTCGCCAGGGTACCTGCAGACCCCCTGGCGAGTAATAAATCCTCTAAATCTGCTTACCTTGGTAAGGGGTCTCTGCCAAGGTGGACCTTTAATTCCCCCATACTCGTGGGTACAAAAATGGAAAACCTATACAAACAAAAAACAAAAACCGCCGGCAACGGCAACGTAGAGGAGAGGAGGAACGATGCGGGGACAGAGTCCGACGCCGCATCGAACAGCGAGGGAGGCTCAGAGAGCTCCCGACAAGTGGAGCCTGGGACCGCGGAGACCAGCAAGTTCTTCCGCAAGCGGTCCAGGCGGGATGGCGACCAGGGGTCGGCATCCGGTGAAGAGGAGGTTTCGGCCCGGAAAATCCCCACCAACAGGCGGGGCGGGCTGAGAGGCAAGGGGACCAATCAGAGGGCCGAACGAGCGGCAAAGCTTGCCGAGGAGGGGCGCCACCCGGACGATACGGCTCGGGAATCAGGCGAAGAAACAGATGCGACTGGCGGCTCCGAGGTGGAGCGTAAGGCCAGATTCGTAAAGGAGGTGGAGGCCGCGATCAAGGTCGTGGCCAACAAGCAAAAGTCCTCCTCGAAAGTCAAGGCCATTCCCGCGGCCTCCGCCTCCATTATGGCGGCTGCGGAGGCCAACTTTGCTGGGGCTGGGCCTAATGCGGACGAGGTGGCGAAGCTGCGGGCGGACGTGGCCCGCCTGACGTCCGCCTTGGAGACTCTCCAGAAGGAGAATGAGAAGCTCCGCGCAGACCTGGCCAGTCTGCATAAGCCTGCCTCTCGCGCGGCGCCCCAGACGCAGCGCCCAAGCCAGCCCGTGCCGGTGGAGAACCAGGTTCTGAACCTGGTCCGGCAGGAGCTGGCTGCCTTCCAGCACCGGTTCTCCGTGCTGGAGGGCATCGTCCTGCGCCCCCCCCTAGGGGCAAACAAGACGGCGGCGAGGCCGGCAACGGTTTCCTACGCGACGGCCACGGCTGCCACATCCAGGCCGGGGCCGTCCAGCCAGCCCTCGGGTGGGGCTGCAGTTGCCCCTCCCCCCCCTGAAAATCCGGCTCCGGCAAAACCGATACCGGCTGAACCGGCTCCGGCTAAGCCGGCGACGGGAAAGAGAGGCAAGGCGAAGGCGAAAAAGGGCAAGGCGGCAGCACAGGTGATGGCTGCGCCAGCCCCAGTGCCTGCGGCGAATGGGCCAGCGCCAGCGGCAAGCCAGCTGCCGCCGCCGCCACCGCCCCCGCAGCTCCCTACACCTCCCGCGGCAGAAGCCGGTTGGCAGGTGGTCGGGGAGAAACAGAAGGGGAAGAAGGCAGCCAAAAAGGCCAAAGAGCAGGAGCGGCAGCGTCAGTTCAGGGCGCGCAAGATCGCGGCTAGGCTCCGCGCCCCGAAGACCGCAGCTGTAGTGATTACACTACAGCCGGACGCGGAAAAGAAGGGCGTTACCTACTGCGATCTGCTCGCGAAGGCGAAAGAGGCGGTGGATCTCGGGGAGCTCGGGATCACTGGGGGCCTCCGGCTCAAAGTCACCCAGACGGGGGCCCGTATGCTGGAGATCCCCGGGGAATCCAGTGGCGCGACTGCGGACGCTCTGGCTGCAAAGCTCAGAGCGTCCCTGAAAGCGGATGAGGCCCGAGTGTCCAGGCCCGTCAGATGTGCAGACCTGCGCATCATGGGTCTGGACGACTCGGTATCGGAGGAGGAGTTGGTGGCCGCCGTCGCCAGGTCCGGGGGGTGCACTACTGACCAGGTCAGGTCAGGCGCAATACGCCCGGACCAACAGGGTATGCATGCCGCCACGGTGTGCTGCCCTGTTACGGCGGCCAAAACCATAGTGGAGGGCCGAAGGCTTCTGGTGGGCTGGGTCTCAGCGCAGGTTAAGCTGCTGGAGCCCAGACCTCTGAGGTGCTACCGCTGTCTCGTGGGGCATCACGTATCAGCGAAATGCGCCTCGGAGGTTGACCGCAGTGGCCTCTGCTTCCGCTGCTGTCAGCCCGGACACATATCGGCGACCTGCTGCGCCACGCCGCACTGTGATGCATGTGCGGCGACCGGCAAGCCAGCCGATCACTGGGCCGGAAGCAGGGCCTGCGCGTCACCCGCCAAGGCCAAAGCCGCGGGTAGGGGAGGGCCCTCCTCCGCCGCCACCGCCTCTATGGCCACCGCCGCAGCTGCAACTGCCGCCGCCGCCGCTGTCACTGTCGCCGCCGCCGCCGCCGCGACACCGACGCCTGCAGAGGGGCGCCCCGTGGAGGAAGCTGAAATGGAATGCCTATAACGGCCCCATTAAGCTTCCTCCAGGCGAATATCAACCACTGCGCCTGCGCTCAGGATCTGTTGCTCCAGAGCATGGCGCAGTGGTCGATTAACATCGCTGTGGTCGCTGAGCCGTATTCTGTCTGGCCTAGGAAGGACTGGGTGGCGGACCTTAACGGCTCAGTGGCCATCATTTCTTCGGCCGCCGCCGGTACCCCGACCCTTGAAGGTGTCAGGAGGGGTCAGGGGTCGTGCGTAGCAGCACGGTTCGGGGAGTTCGTCGTTGTTGGGGTGTACTTCTCCCCGAACCGATCTCTCGCCGAGCTCCACAACTCTCTTGCAGAGCTGAGAGCAGTCGTCGTCGGAAGCTATCCCCTCCCCGTGCTTGTCCTCGGGGACTTCAATGCCAAGAACTTGGCTTGGGGTTCTCGTCGTACAGATGTGCGGGGTAGGATGGTGGAAGACTGGGCTCTGGAGACAGGCCTGGTCGTCCTAAATCGGGGCTCTGTCCCCACGTGTGTGCGGATGCGGGGCGAGTCGGTGGTGGACATTTCGTTCGCTAGCCCCGCTCTGTCGCCGCGTGCCACTGATTGGCGAGTCATGGAGGGGGTGGAGACCTACTCCGACCACCGGTACATCCGGTTTGACGTCTCCACCCAGCCCTCGAGCGCGCCAGTCCAACAGGCCCCGAGTGGTCCGCGTTGGGCGCTGAAGCAGCTGGACCGGGAGCTCCTCCTGGAAGCCTCGATCGTGCAGGCCTGGGTGTCATCACCGGATAGGCCTGCCGACGTCAATGATGAGGCAGGGTGGTTCCAGGAGGCCATGTCCGATATATGTGACGTGGCAATGCCCCGCGTCCGGCCAGGAAGCGCCCGGCGTCAGGTGTATTGGTGGTCGCGTCAGCTGACTTCTCTGCGCGAGGCGTGTGTCGCCGCGCGGCACCTGTACGCCAGGCATCGCAGGCTCCGCATTCGTCCACCGAATGCGGCAGCCATTGAGGCGGAGCTGTACGAGGGATACAGAGCGGCGAAGACCGCCCTCCGGGAGGCTATCATGCGGGCCCGGGATCGGGCCCGTGAGGAGATGCTGGAGACTCTCGACAGAGATCCGTGGGGGCGCCCTTACAAGATGGTGCGGGATAAACTCCGCACCTGGGCCCCCCCGCTGACGCAGAGTCTCCGGCCTCAGCTCGTGGAGGACGTGGTGAGCGCTCTGTTTCCTGCGCGAGGGGAACATCCGCCCCCGCCTATGGCTCCGCCACCTGCGGTGCCGGAAGCAGACCACCAGGACGACGACGACGGCATCCCGGAAGGGACCGGGGTAGACCTGAGAGTGGCGGTACGTAGGCTCAAGGCCAGGAATACCGCCCCAGGACCCGATGGCTTGCCTGGCAAAGCCTGGGTCCTGGCCTCGGAGGCTCTCGGGCCCCGACTGGAGAGGCTCCTAAGCGCATGCTTGGAGAGAGGCCAATTCCCGCTTCGTTGGAAGACGGGGAAGCTGGTCCTCATCCGGAAGCCGGGGCGCCCTGCGGACTCTCCGTCCGCATACCGGCCCGTGGTGCTGCTCGACGAGGTGGGCAAGCTCTTTGAAAGAGTCATTGCAAACCGCCTCGCCGAACACCTTGCGGGGACGGGGCCGGATCTTGCGGAACACCAGTTTGGTTTCCGCAAGAGGCGCTCTACGGTGGACGCCATCATGCGCGTGAGAGCCCTCACGACGGGGGATGCAGTGGCCAGGGGGGGGGTTGTTTTGGCGGTGTCTCTCGACATCGCCAACGCCTTCAACTCCATGCCCTGGAGCTGCATTAGGGAGGCACTCCGGTATCACCGGGTGCCGACCTATCTCCGTCGTATAGTCGGGGACTATCTGACGGATAGGGCCGTCATCTACCCCGGTCGCAACGGTGAGTGGAACCGGCGAGAGATGTCGTGCGGTGTCCCACAGGGTTCAGTTCTGGGGCCGCCCCTGTGGAACATCGGTTACGACTGGGTGCTGCGCGCCGACCTCCCTACCGGCGTCAGCGTAGTTTGCTACGCTGACGACACGCTGGTACTGGCACAGGGGGGGTCGTACGAGGCGGCGGCGGAAACTATGACACGCGGGGTTGCGATAGTCGTTGAGAGGATCCGGCAGCTGGGTCTTGAGGTGGCTCTGCACAAGTCCGAGGCCATGCACTTCCATGGTCCTCGGAACAGGCCACCACCGGGATCCTCAGCGATGGTAGGAGGGGTATCCATCGGCGTCGAGTCGACGTTGAAGTACCTAGGACTCGTCCTCGACGGCCGATGGAACTTCGTTGAGCACTTCCGACGTTTGGCTCCCAAACTGGAACGGACCGGGGCTGCCTTCAGGCGGCTCCTGCCGAACCTGGGGGGCCAAACGCCTCCTGCCGGAGGCTCTACGCGGGGATTGTGCGGTCCATGGCCCTTTACGGGGCCCCGGTGTGGGCGCGTGGTTTGGCGCGGCTTGCCGTCCACCACCTGAACGCGCCCCAAAAGGTGGTTGCCGTGAGAATGGTTCGCGGCTACCGCACGATCTCCCGCGAGGCAGCGTGCCTCCTTGCCGGATTGCCGCCGTGGGATCTGGAGGCGATAGTCCTCGCGCGCCTGCACGAATGGCGCGCGGAGGCACTATGCCGGGGGGAAACCCCGCTGCCGCGGCAAGTTGTCGTGCAGCGGACAGACTTCCGGCATGATCTCATGGCGACATGGAGAGAGCGACTGTCGCAACCCCGTGCTGGGCACGCCACTATAGCGGCGATAAGACCCCTCTTTGAGGAGTGGCTTGAGAGACGCCACGGCGTCCTCACCTTCCGCCTGACGCAGGTTCTCACCGGACACGGTGTGTTCGGGAGGTTCCTGCACCGAATCGGGCGGGAGGAAACGCCCGGGTGCTCCCACTGCGAGGATCGACCGGAGGACACGGTGGAGCACACCGTGGAGGTGTGCCCTGCCTGAGCGGAGCACCGCCGTGTCCTCGTAGCGGCGATAGGCGGCGGCGACCTCTCGCGTCCGGCCCTGGTCGAAGCCATGGTCCGGAGCGAGACGGAATGGGATGCCGTCACCACCTTCTGCGAAGCAGTGATGCTAGCGAAGGAGGTGGCGGAGCGGGAGAAGGAGAGAGCAGCAGCTTTCCTTCCCGGCCGCCGCGGGAGACGCCCCGGGCGTCGGGGGCTACGTCGTGGCCCCCGGCCACCGTAGGCGCGGGCCTGTGGACGGCGAGCAATGGGTAGCTCGCCGTCCGTCCGTCTAACGACGACAGGCCGTGTCGACGGCGCGTTTTGTTCCACGCGCGCCTCAAAGAGCTGTCAGCAGCGTGAAGGGGCCCGCAAGGGCCGACGCCTGCCGGGGCTGCGGGCTGTTCGAAAGAGATACCGCGGCTCCGGAACGTAAGGGCACTGAAGGAACACGGATGGTTTTTAGTCAGTAAAAGTCTGACACTCCCTTCCGCTCCACCCAGAGCGAAAGGCGTCATTTGATGATTTTCCATCCGCCAAAAAAAAAAAAAAAAAAAAAAAAAAGCGCTTAATGCCTCCTTACCAATCACTCGAGCACCACTTGAAAGTAAAGGTAAAATTGATCTGAATAACCCCCCTAAGAAGCTCCCAATACCATGACCGCGTTGATATGGTGAACCCTTATAAATTACTCCAACTCCTGATCCAGCTTGATGTGTATAATAATTTTCATATGGACATTTATGATGATCACGAAGAGAATTCATTATTATAATTTTCGGAAATGTAGTTTAATACACACGGTTCCAAACTGAAATGGTATTTTTTGTCCTGTACTCGATCTTATAACTATTTCCAGTGTATCGAACTCTCTTCGCATAACAGGTAAGTAGTGATGTTGAGAGAAAACGTGCATTTTATTTGCACCATAAATGTATTTTGTAGGATCTAATGAAATGACTCTTAATAAAGGAGTCATAACATCACCCACAATCTGAGGATCGATAATGTCGCAATATAGAAATAGTTGAGATGGTAACCCTAAGTGTAAATTAGCAGGACACTTTCCAAAATTTCTCTCTAGGAGATTTTTATTTGGTTCATAACCTAGCTGTAAACTTAATTTGGGTGATAATGTTACGGATGTTATATTTTTATCCAATACCGAAATAGACACAAAGTTTGTTATTTCATCATAGCGAAATTTCAAGTTCTCTCCGATACCATTTAACACTCTTAAAATATGCTCAACGTTATCATAGTTGGTAGCTGGAATATGTTTTTTGTAGTACACTGTGGATGGTTTATCTTCATTAGGCATTAACATAGATTTTGTAATGTATATAACATTTTCATGGTCTTGAACAGTAAACATGGTACATGGATATTGAAACTCGACAACTCCAACCGACCATTCACCTTCTAATTTTATAGCTTTTGGTAATTTCGTTGAAAAATTTGTGGTCTTGTTATCAGGAAAGTATTCCATTGAAATATTGCTGAGCAAATACTATAATAATAATGAAAACTTTCTTTATTCATATTTCTTTTAAACTAGAAGCTAAAATCCAACTGTTAAATTTATTTGGATAACCTTTCCACTTCACTAATACTTCTTTTCTGTTACCTGAATAACGAGTGTCAATTATTTTATCTATTTAATGTTGTGAGGTGGGGTTGTAAGTGATTTTCTGTAATTCTCTTTCATAAAAAGTACCAATTAATGGTTCATTTTGTAAATCTGTTATTGTATAAACAACCCATGGAGATCTATCAATTATTGAAGATATAATAAATATTTCATCACTCCAATTTGATTCATATCCTTTTTGGAATACATGTTTATATTTAGTTATTCGAATATAATCACCCACATTGAAATTTGGTTTAGGATTTTCTAAAGAAAGTTTTTTTGTCCGTCTATCATAAAGATTAGTCCAAACTGTCATAATATTGTTGGAATTTACATCACATGGGCACATCTTAATACTAGAGTGAAAGATGTGATTATAAGAGTATATTAAATCTTGTAAAACATCTATATATCTATAAGTATTATTATGAGT